GACTTTGCACTGAACCAGATAATACTTCCCATGCCCTCATCTAAGCAACTCACCTCAGCCTGAATAGTAATCATTCACTTACTTGCAGCATGTAAAGTGCTTTTAAAGAATAAAACATTTAATTTCTGATTGACACATAAAGCCATAAAGCATACATAAAGGTTCAGCTTTAGTGAAGTCTGTCTACACAACACACACTAAATGCAGTATTACAATATGAGCAAGTTACCCTGCAAACAGTCATAAAAGCTTAGCCATAAGAAACAGAAAAAACTGATAAAATAGCCCTTCAGACTGTCTTAATTTTACATTTGCATCACAAGAGATTCTAATAATTTTTTGTTGTAAGCTAGTTAACATGAAAACTGCATACTGTAATATTTTTCAAAATTCAGTATAGTCATCTTATACAATAAAATGTGTGATTTTCCTAAACTGCAACATTTTGCCTTATTTTTTTCATTAACTAAGTACCCAAGAACCACACTTCACCAGAAGACAGACAAAACTTGGAAAAATATTTGTCACTTTTTTAAAACTGTTTATTTTTTATTAACTAAAACAACTAAGCCATTAAAAGTGCAAACTGTACAAAAGGTCATAGGGCAAAATGGTTTCTGAGAATAGCAGATGATGCTTCCAAATAATAGGTGTTTGTGTTGTCCATACTGTTTTGGGGGTGCACGTATCATCAACACGGAGACAGGTTTTCACTGAAGGTCATGAATGCAGTTCATAAAGGTTAAGTGTTATATCTGCTTTATGTGATCAATGTAAAAGGCTGAACGCCAGCTACCGCGAAGAGAAGGAATTAGCCTAAAGTGATCTCTCTTTACAAATTTTTTCTTTTAAAACAAAGAACTTTGAATGCAGGCCAAAGCCCTTTAGGAAAAAACAATTTCACAGGAAGCAATACTAACAGTGGTAAACAGCACCTTTATGTTGCCATTTTACTTCCAATCAGGTAACATTACTTTGAGAACTGTGTTTTTGCAAGGCAGACGTGTTGCCTTCTCAAAGCCGTGAGGATGTATAAGCACACCACCCACTTCATTAGTGTTCATGCTTTTGTCTGTTAACAGTAAAATGACACCAAGTGCTCTATGTTTGTGCTCCGTCTACCGAGTGAAAGGTACAGCTCCCACATAAAAAACACACCTGTGTATCAGCAAGAGCCTGACAGATACACATGTTGCTTTCAACCATCAAAAACCTGTTTCCAACTTTTCAACCATAAAATGAAATGTACATTTCTTCAGTATACTCGATTAGTATGCTGCATGACTAAAAGAAATACAGTACTGAAACTTAAAACATTCAACCTGAACACTTGCTAATATAGTTGCAAGCCATAACAAATGCATTTTCTTTTCTTCAATACAGAGCCTGACTATTTAATGCTACAGTAAGAAAATCATTGTGTAGTTAACACCAATCAAAAACAGCTGACAAAGGTTACATAAAGCTGAAAGACAGTATTTAATTCTGATGGCACTTTTATGGGATTGACAAACTTTTGCAGTACATACATGCAATATAAAAGTAAAGTTAAAAGGCTCAAATCCTGGAAGATGTACAGGCATGTGTTTTCCAGGAAGCATTTTGATAATTTTTGGCCTTCGCATTTACTTTTTTCACACCGTAGAGTATTTTTGCTTTAACTTACTGCTCATCTCCACAGCCTCCTACAAGCAATACAACTCACTGCAAACCAGATTCGATGGGAGGACTCCACCAACCTCCTGCTCCCAACTTTCTTCCTCCTATCAGGATGCAGGGAGAATCTAAGATAATGTCTGAATTTAAATCTTCATTGTGCAGTAGCAAGTTTAGCTGAGCCATTTAGTCTCAGTACCTGCTAGCTCTGCACAAGTCTCTACTTTATGTTATTGAGCTGAAAGCATTGAAGAAGGAAGACTGAAGATATTTTGATGAGACTGTATTTTCCCAGAAATAGGTGATAAAACATCCACACATTTAGACTGACTCCGGGACAGCCTTTGAATTGAGACAAACATAATCAGCCTTCAAAGCACTGACATGCAGGAGAAATTCTCCAGCAACCTCAAAATCCCTCACGAATGTGTGCTGTTCTACATGAACACCTTAGCCCAAAGGTGGTGCTTTTTTACATCCCATGCAATCTCGCTTCCATCAGTCCATCTGCAAAGAGTTTAAATTAGCTCAAAATCTAGCCTTCTTTTTCCTGGTATTAACACTTTAGTCATGATCATCCTGTTCTAAAACTGTCTTGTAATAGAAGCCTTACTGGCTTTTTTTTTTTTTATTTGTCACCTATTACAATCCACCCTTACTGTTTTTACCTTGCTGTATTTACAAGTGTGGCATTATCCAGGCTTGTGATTTAGAGGGGAAAAAAGAAAATTAAAAAAATCTTACTTAAGATTTTAAAAACTCTTATTAAAATATCAAGTCATCAATTTCACATTCATGATCCGTTCTTTCATAGAGTCTTACAAGCAATTACAGAAGTCCCTTTTTATAAGTTATTTTACATTTGCTGGTTAATTCCATATAATCTTTATCGGTATGCATTCTCTGCACTGCTGCCATGTGGATAAAAAGAAGCACAGGAGCTATTAGTATCTAACTTGACACCAAAAGCAATCTTCTATCTGACCTATAGATTTAATTGGCTATAAATAAGCTGCGCAGGCAACCAGTACAAAACAGTATAGTCCTATAAAAAGACAACAGACTGCAGAGTACAACTGAGTAGAGTAAAGTTTAACTAATTAAGCGTTACCATGTTGTGGACTGGCTTCCTAATTCGCTGAAAATGGTTTGCTCTACTCTGAAACATTATACAAAAAAAACCAAACACCAAACCAAAAAACCCTAGAGCTGCTTTCTCACTACCAAAACAAATAATGTGCTGTCATTTCATTAGTTCTCTCTTTTACTTTGAGACTAACTAGTTGTCCAGGTACCTGCTGAGGGAGCAAGATGAGATGGTCCACCAAGCACTGGGAATTTGTCTTTTATGGCATTTTTAGATGTTTGGAAATACTAGTTCATAGTGGCATCACAGGTGTGTGCAAGTCTGAAACTACCCTGCCTCTCATGCTTGTCAAGAAAAACATACTTTCTTGATGTAGTCTTAGTTTTCTCACAGTTGGTATGGAAACTTACTTCAACTCAAGATAATAACACAGAAATGTCTTGGTAATTACATGCAGAAGACAAACATACAATATCTAATTTTTTAAAAAACTACCTCTCCTTAGCCCTTGGTAATTACAAGATTTCTCAAAATTCTTCATTTTTTCTGCTCAAAACCATACTTGGGATATCTAATTATGTTCTGTTGCCGCACAAGTTGCAGGTGCTCAGTTTTTCCAGAACCGTGGTGGTTTTAGTCATGAGATCAGTGCAGAAATATGCACGTTTACTTCAAGCCCAGATCCATAGCTGCAACCAACAATCCAGCTCTTAGAAGAGGAAACATACTGCTTTGCATTTTCTCTTGCGACTTTCTTAGATAACAAGACCGTACACCGCATAACGTGCATGTGCCTTTGTGTCCCCTTAGTTCATACGGAGAGTGTCATTCACAGAGCCACTATGTACAGGACCTCATTTTGCTCTCATTGGTTACTAACAGGCCTAATTCCAATGAAAATACATCTGTATAACTAAAGTCACAGCTGACCCATGGCTCATGGGGACCAATGCTAAAGTCTGCCCAAAATCTGATCCTGTGCCAAAGAGCCTTGTGCCAAAGTCTTAAGCCACACAAGTAGTAGAGAGAAAGAGCATGGATGTGTAAATTTGGATAAGATCCCTGGAAAGGGATCACAGAATTTGCTCCTGTAACTTAATTTTAAGGACTAAATAGTTTCAGAACCAATAAAAGTATTTCTGCTCATGTTATTACAGTAGTACTAATGAAGTGTCATGTTCCAGGGCATAGGCTGATTAAAAGAGGAGGCAGAAAGGACCTTTTCCTCCTTCTGATTGTTTATATTCCAAAATTGTGGAGATGAATTTGGGGAAAGCACAACATACCTTTGAAGCATCAGGTATTGATTGGAATGAGGCAGTGGAGCTGGTGAATTACACATCAACTCCATTATGACAAATCCTATGTTTCTATGTAAAAGCACAAGGCCCCAAGCAGTCACTTGTGGCTTGTATTTAAGGCTGGCCCTACAGATGATGTTCTGAGAGAAAGACAGTATCAGTTCTCTCAAAAAAAAAATGCTGATATTAAAATAAACAAGGGGAACAAACTATTTAAAGTGCCTGAATAAAATCTCTTCAGGTCTCTAATTTTTACAATGAAAGTGAAATAAATGCCCACAGTAAGAGAGAACTGGACAGGTTTTTTCACTGAGTTCATAAGAATTACTGATCTATTAGTCTGGTATGAAAGCTCATTAAAAGTGATACCAAATAGGCCACCTCAAGCAAATATTTCAAGCCTACAAATAGTCAGTGGCACACTTTCAAAATACTTCAAGTTCCAAACTACAATTTTTTTATGATATTCATTTCTAAGTAACAATGAATTTAACAAGGACTATTACTGCCTTGCTAAAGCACACACCTGTGCTTTCATAAGTAAATGTCAATAAAGTCCTGGGGATTGCTGGAGTATTGGTAGTTCATGACTGTTCTGTGCAACTTTTGCATTGTAGTTAGAAAATTCAGTTTACCGCAAGGACGTGTTTAAAAGGATGCTGTGTAAGACTGGCACATCCTAAGATTATTGCTGTTTTCTAAAATTGTAAATAAGCACCAATTAATGAAATTGTTTTCAAGTAACAGCTAACCTCAACATTCTGCAACATTCACCATTTAGGTTATATTAAACATCCTATCAAGATAAACTGCATCATTTGGTATCTGTGGAAAACATTCTAGATGCAATAATTCTATTTCCATCTGCAGGATTAAGCATGGGTTCCTCGGTGCTCTGCAAATTTTGCCAAATGAGTATGATCCTGTACTGCATGCACTTTTTTTTTTTTTAAAATCAGAAGAGTTGAATTAGTTTCTAAAATTATAAATAAGCCTTCTATAATTCTAAAAACCACACTGAATAGAAACTCCATTTGGAGTGGCAATTGCCATTCACATTATTGTGAGATTTGAGGTATTCTTGAAGAGAAAAGGCACCAGTGAAGTTGTTGGATCCGGACGTACTGAATCACAGGAACATGTTCAGTTAACTTAACGCCCTATTGAAGAAAAAGACACATTTCAGTACAACTATTTTTTTCTACATCTCTAAATTGGCTTGGCTTCAAGATGGGCACACATTCATACTATTTGAAATCCCTCACTTCACCGTCACCACTTGGATATCTCTTTGGATTTTGAAAGGCATGGAGCCAGCAGGCATGCAGATAACTGTCTCTCATGTGGGGAAGATAACAAGTTTTACTTACTGTAGAACTGGCCACAATAAAGGCAACCAGCAGAGAGAACTCATGACAGTGGTCTGAGTAGAGTGAAAAACAAGCTTTCCTCCCGGTCAGAAATTTCAGCCTTTTTCCACACACAGAAAAGAAAGGGGCTACCCACTTTAAAAATAAGACTTGGACAAGTATTTTAGAGTCAAAGACCTTCAGCATGTTGTTTTGCCTCTTTTCTCAGTTGTTCAAGGGCTTCATGTGAAAACCATGAGTCATTATGAACTAATATGCCCACTTACTTGGGCTTCCGCTCCTCAGTGGTGAAGGACTGCGGCTCCGAGACAACTGCAAGACAAACAGAAAAGGAAACTCAGATGTGCTAAAGAACTGTACCCAAAAAAGGCACCTGGGGACCCATCAACATTCAGAAAATTTGCACGTTGCTCTATCGGTGCAGCTCCACTGCTATAAAGTCAAATTCAACAACTTTCTAGTTTCTCTCTCACACCCTGCACACACACAAAAAAAGTGAGTCTTACCCAAAGCCTCTCACATTTTCAATATTCACATTTTAAGTTGAGGGCACCGATGTCAATTTAATAACATGGGCTAACAATTAGAAAAATACACAATTTTTACAGAAATAATTAAAAATACTGTATGACTATAACATACGCAGAACTCTGCTATGGTTTCACATATCTTATTAGTAACACCTCAGTTCTTCCCCTCCTGCCCACCCTACACTGATTTTCTGATCCTTTGAGGCATTAGAGGGTAAATTTAGATTACCAGTTCCAGGAGGCAGGGACCATGTGCTGTATATGTACTGCAGGATGACTAAAACACTTCCAGATGATGCAATTAGTTATTCAGAAGGGTACTGAAGCAAGGGGGAGTAAGGGGAAAGCATTCTGAGATCCACAGTTGGTACCTCTGAAAATTTAACTATGATCTACTCCTCATACAGTATCTGCACTGATAATGATACCAGGCAATAACTATCTGTCAGTTCAGCTTCACCTCATTACAGACCCAGCAAAGGCATTTATTCCCAATGTTAAAATGTATGTGTGGCACATCAGCATTTTTAAAAGGTTGTCTACATTCTGAGTTTAAAATACTTGATGCTGTTTACACTACAAGCATTCAGCTGGAGCTTACATGATGAGATAGAAGAGGACTGGTGCTACGACTGCGGCTTCTGCCTCTACTTCTGCTTCTGTGAGACCACTACAAGAGAAGAGTTTGACAAACCTCTTTTGAGAAAGGGTATTTAATAAAGACAGACTTGACAAGCAGACTCGCCATGCTGGAAACAAAGCTTGAGGACAGAGAGTAAACACAGTAAACTTTCTCCTCAGAACAAGCTCTGCAAACAATCATACATCTGCATAACGAATACATTAAGGCAAACGAAACTATTCATCCTAAATACAGGATGAGGCACTAAAACCTAACTGATATTTGATATACACAACTCCAGCCATTTAGGGAACAATCAAGAATTCATCTTTTTAAATTTTAAAACAGCGTTTAAATCCAATGACTTCCCTTAGCATGATCCTTAACAAAAGTACGTACCAGAGCTCCTCTTTTTGTGACTGCCTCTCCCTTCACAATTACAACATCATTTTCCATCAGAGCAGGCCATACATGATAGGCCACCAAGGCAGCTGTGAAATCAGAGTCAAAACTACGATGGTACCTGTTGAAACATAGAGTACAAGAAATGTCTGCATATAAGTGCCAAAAGATAAATAAGATGCTTCAAGTCATCAATGTTGATAAAAAGCAGAATACTAGCTACAGCTCAAACGTCTTTCTTTACTTATTTCTGGGATACGGAAATATTGTCTTCTTGAAGTGAAACTGTAGAAGAAATGCATTTGTAAGACAGACCTAGCAGAATATGCTGTCTACTTATACTGAAAGACACTCCAATAAAGCCATCTGACACTTCAGAAGGCCACTAGACCATGTTCTCGCATAAGCCCCACGCAAGCCAGGGTCCTTGGGTCCACTGACAGATTAAATCTCCTGAGCAGCATTTTTGCAGGCATAGTCATCCCATCTTCCTGAAATATCTTGCTAAAACAAGACCCCTATAAAAGATATTACAGAAATACTCTCTCTCAACTATAAAATTACATCCTAGTATCTTATAAGACATAAAAGGCAATTTTATTAGCAAGATCCTCAGGTACTGATAATGAAACAGTGACTTTTTAGCTAAGAAAAATTATTTTGAAGGCCTGTATTAACATACCAGATACATATTACCTCCTTAAGTCTGCAATATTGGCTGAATAATACATGTCTGGTTTTGTGGATTCAAACTCAAAACAAATATCAAATAACTGAAATAAAAATAGCAATGCATCTATACATTAGTAATGTATAAACAATGGCAATTTATATAAAACAATGTTGTAAACAGAGGCATGAAGCTCTGCATGGAGGAAGGTATAGAATACGATGAGGTTTCGCCAGCCCTTTTATAGAATGGTATCACACATAACTAACAGAGCTATGTTAATTTCTACAGATTTTGCTCCATCTCTGTGTACCACATCTATATGCTATACATGTAAATGTATGTATGCCGCATATTTATCTATATAGATGGATAGATGTGTGTATATATGTCTCCCACAGCAGCACATATAACACATTACACCTGTTTTTTGAAGGCCACACACAACAAGTAGGTGGAGAAAGCATCCCAAGGCTATACCAT